TACTGAATATAAGGATATTAAGGAACTTTTCTCAGCTTGGGGAACCAACTTTATCCCTCTCAAGTATTATCACATCAGAGCTCTCTTCTGTAGTACAAGTGTGGGCTTTTGCCCAGGATATATTTCTAGAGGTGGCAAACATGTATTCATAACTTGTGCTCGGACTGTTGGCTAGAGAAGGGATGCTTGAAAGCTATATATTACTAAGAAGGATTCCAAGCAATCATTAACATAAATTATAGAATCCTCTCTTTACTTCAGGGCTAATTTCACAGCAGACAACTGGGAATATTTGCCATGTTATTTGTAAGAATACAGATTGTGGAATTAGCAAGTGAGAAATCTAATAGATTAAAGAAAAAAAAAGATAATTTAGAGAAAATGTAATTTATTCCATAAATTAGGAGTTTTTACTTTTTCTAAATGTAATTCTATTTCAAGGTCCATCTTTTTTAAAATATGTATTTATTTATGTATCTTTAGTTTTAGGTGGATACATTAGTTTGTTTTTATGTGGTGCTGAGGATCCAACCTCATGCATGCTAGGCGATCATTCCACCACTGAGCCACCACCCTAGCCCTCAAGGTCCGTCTTTAAAAAATACATTACATACCTTGCTATGCCAAGGTGTCATACTATATTAACTAGCAGGAATGTTGTTGCTGGTCTACACACTGGGGGTGTGGGAGTATCCTCTGTTTCTTTGAAAAGACATGTTTGATCTTCTTTCATATAACTTAAATTCAATAAAAAATGCTTCAAGGAATAGTATAAAATCTTTTTCCACTGATACTATCTTATATAATTAAAGGTCTTTGGGGTACATATGGTGTAAAAACTGGTTCATGCATGTACTTTAACCCTTTACAAATAATCCTAAAACCTCAGAATTTTTTGAGCTCTTCTTGTAACACTGATCATAGAATTAAGAATCTTCAGGTTTAAAGGCCCCATTTAGTTATCTCCATGGTTCTCATACCCGACTCACCATTCAACTTCACCTAGGGAGCTTCAAAAAATAAATTCTTTGTCTGAAAGCAACCCTACTGAATCGAATTAACCAGAAATAGTGTAAGAATTTTTTCCAGTGTTTTTCAGGGGATTCATATGAAATGACAGGTTTAGGGCTCATGGATTCAGAATAAAGTCAACCGAAGTTGGTGGCATTTTATCTATAAGTATATTGAGAAATGGAAATACTACTAGGTCCATATATAATGTGTATTTGGAACTAACAACTCTGCTATGACATAGTTTTAAATGTCTTTTCCCCACAAAACAAAACCATAGGCTTCACCTAGACTCACCTTAGAAACTGTGATATCCATCATTGCTCTCTTCCTTTAGCAGGTATTAAAAATGTTAAGGAGTTATATTTATTTCCCAGGCACTTTTTCTCTACAGTAATGCAAATTTCTTAACCTTCTTTCCTAGTTCCTATTTTCTCAATTCTTAATGGTTTTAGAACTTCTCAGGAATCTACTTTATCCAAATATGAAGATGTGGATACCAATAGCAGGCAAAGTCTGAGAAGAATAGGTTGACTAATGGCTAGTCTTCCTGAAGAACCATTTCAAATATCAAGAAATTAAACTTTGCTGTTTCAATTTTGGTGGGCCATTAAAGCATATAATTAATACTACATATGCATTTTACTGTCAATCCAGGTCTTACAAGAATATAATATGACTGCCATTATTTTCTTAAAGAGTAACACTTTTAAATGTGGACTTTCACATCTTACTTTAAAAAAAATAGTATCTAAGCATATATATAAAACCATATGCCTAATTGTCTGAGAGTTAATTGGACCATTGTGATCAGAAATATTTGATTTGAGCAGTGTGTGGTATCTCAAGCCTGCAATCCCTGCTACTGGGAGGCTGAAGTAGGGAAATCTCAAGTTTAAAGTCAATCTGGGCAATTTAGGGAAACCTGGTCTAAAAAAAAAAAATAAAAGGGGCTGGGGAAGTAGCTCAGTGGTAGAGAGCTTGCCTAGCATGTGCAAGTGTCTGGGTTCAATCCCAAATAAATAAATAAATAAATAAATAAATAAAATGATTGGTTGACATAATGATACCCTTGCATACCTAATTTCTAACAATTAAAATATGTAGTCACAAGAACATTTAACTAATCATGAGTGCAGCCCCCCAAAAAAGAGAAATAATGTTTATGCTAATTTGCTGAATATATCTAATATACCAAAATCTAAACCAACCCTAATTTTTCTACTGAAAATTTTTTTCTTTTCTTAGCCCAAATCAACTAATGAACCAGCTGGAACTGGAAAAAAATAAAACTTACATAGTTTCTAAAACTGAAATACCAATACAGAGCAAAACTGAAATATCAAAACATCTGCTACACTTACTGAATTGGCTGAAACTTTATTTGGTGTAATTTCTTAGCTCAAACAGCTAATGTAGATACAGCTATATTTTGTCTGGCTCAATAGACAAGTTAATTCACCGGGAGTGCAGGAACAGAGGCTCTTAAAAAATCACCTGGCTTTAACTAGTTAATGGGTGAATTAATGCAGATTCCTCCTGAATATGTTGTATAGGATAAATATGTCTGTTTGTCCTTTGTCTTGAATATACACATGCAGATATATGATGTTAACTACATTGACTATTGCCTAACACCATTTAGTTTTATGAATTATCCTATTAGTTCATCGTAAATTTCTTTTACTTTGTGGCAACACAGTGTAACTATTTATAGTTTTCTAATCAGAAAATATTATGTGGAACAATATTTAAATTAACTCAGTAGATTGATCCCCTGATATTTTCAAGCTGAAGTTCACTCAAATAATATATATATATATATATATATATATATATATATATATATATATAGAGAGAGAGAGAGAGAGAGAGAGAGAGAGAGAGAGAGAATAGTATATATATAGTTTATATAGTCATTTTAATATTTCAAGCAGTTTCACATTTATTATTTCATTTAGTTTTCATCATCTTTTTTTTTTTTTTCTTTTGTGGTGCTGGGGATTGAACCCAGGGCATTGTGTATGCAAGGCAAACACTCTACCAACTGAGATATATCACCTAGCCCCTAATCTTCTTGTTTTTAACAATGTATTTTTACATATTATATGTTTAAAATTCTCCCACCCTGGAAGCCACAAAAAGTGTTCAAATATTTAACCCAACATTTCTCACATTCCCTCCCAGTTTTTTCTTATTTATGTTCATAATGAACACTTACCAGTTTTGTTCCTGTGTCATCATCCAATATTTAAGTTCCTTACTATGTGCAAGAGTCCTTGCCAGATACTCAGGGGAATATAAATAGTAGAAAGCCTTTTTTTTCTGTCTGGATGTTTGTATTCTAGTAAATAAATACATATTGTTCTAAATAGATTTTATTTTCACCTTATAATACGCATTTACTCCCTTGTTAGCTCATAATCATCAGAATCTTGGTTTCATGTTCTTTTCTCTTGACCAGGAATTACCTGAAGTTAGAGACTAATTTCAGGATCCTAGCAAGGACCTCAGTGTTAGGCATATGCTAGATACTTGATATCTCATGTCACTCCCTTTTAAATATTTTTTAAGTTCTCCTTATTGTCATAAAGATAGAAATTAACCCCCTCAGTGTATAGTATATGTAGACCTATTGTAATTTGAGTCTGTATTGTCCTATATGCTAGCCCCTGGCAACATGTGTTGAGCTCTGGAAATAAAATTAGTTGGAACTTAGATGTTCTATAAAATACACACAGGATTTCCATAATATGGTATGAAAATGATGTAAAAAGTTCTCATTTTCATATCAATTACATGTTGAAATAAGATTTTGGCTATGTTAAATTGAATACAATTTATTAATAAAATGTAACTTTTTTCAGGGCATGATAGCACATGCCTGTAATCCCAGTGGCTCCAGAGGCTGAGACAGGAGGACTGCAAGTTCAAAGCCAGCCTCAGCAACTTACAGAGGCCCTAAGCAACTCAGTGAGACCATGTCTCAAAATGAGACAAAAAAATACGGAAAAAAAAAATAAGACTGGGGATGTGGCTCAGTGGTTAAGCACCCCTAGGTTTAGTCCCTTGTACCAAAAAAGAAAAGTACATTTTTGCCCTTTTAAAAGGGTGGTTATTTGAAAATTTAAAATTACATGTGACTCACATTTATGAACCCTGTTTCCATCCTAAAAAAAACTGTACTTTCTTCCCAAAGTGCATGGTATATATTTTTCTTCAATAGCTTTGCATATCTTCTTGGCAGGCTCTCTCCTCTTAACATAACCTATTGGCAAAGGCCCACCCACTGTGCTCCTCCTGCAACAATTCCCTCCCAACACCTGCTTTAGATGCTTGTGTCCATCATACCACATCATTCTTTGTTAAGCTTTACCTGACCATACTGTATTATACTTCTTGGTTTACTTACCTTTTAAGGCCAATACTTATTCTGTCTGAATCTCCTGTATTTGAAATATGGAAGGAATTCAAGGAGGAACTAGCTGGGTGTATAGAAAATCTATAGGGAAAACTCTATAGACTGCCTTCCCTGCATCCAGGTACCTAACCTAAACATCCCACCCTAGAAAAAGTAAAAATAAAAGGTACCTTGCTGGCCCCAAATTCTTCCACTCCCCTCACCAAAACAAAGAAAACATCAACTCAAAATAGAAGCCACTCAGAAATAAAACTAGTAAACATTTATTTTATAAAAAACACTAATTTTCTAAATGAAAGTCTCAAGTCCTTGTGTTCTTGCATGGTAGTTCCAATGCCAAAAGGTCGTGGGGAAAAAGTTGGTACTTGAAAAACAGATGGAAATCAGTTGAAGAAGAAATAATGATAAGTCTGATTAAACAGTTATTCAGTCATTTCAATTGAATAATGCAATGTTTCATTCCAGGAGTGAGTGGTTCTTTGATGGCAGCTTCATCCTTAGACTTCAGAATGACTAATACTGGAAACCATTACCAAAAGAAGTAGCTTGGTTTATTTGCATATTATAATTAGTGAATGCATGTCCTAATCCATAAGTTCCATAGTTGTAGCCAAAAAACACAATCTCCACCATAACCATGAAAACTAGGTTGATTATTGTACACATTATGGAAATTACCATAAGGGAAATTAAATCCTTCTGTGTAGACAGTGAAAGGAACAGGAACAAGCACCGAAGGAAAGCTTCTTCCACTGCCAGGCACGCCCCAAATATTTCGGTTTACTCCAAAAATATTTTGGGTCACCCCAAAACCATTTTGATTTACTCCAAAAACATTCTGGTTTGCTCCGAAAACATTGTAGTTTGTATTCTGGTTTGCTCGGAAAACATTTTGGTTTGCCCTGCGAGCACCTAGGTTTGCTCTGTGAGCATTGGGGTTGGCTTGGAAGCCACCACGTCTTCTCCAACGGTTGCCTAACCCAGAGCTGGGAGTATTTCTTCCCACCTTTCGCTGGGGCCGGGGACGCTCTCTGGGAAGTGCCATCTTAACTTCACACCGGCTGGAGCCAATGAGATGGAATCTGGTTTCTAACAGCTTCCTCACTGGGATTTCATCGGTATATGTGATAAAGCCAAAAGCTCGTCTTCGGTTTTTCCTTGGGCACATTGGAAGCTCAATATTCACGATCTCTCCAAATGTGCCGAAATATTCTCTAATTTTTTCTTCAGGCATGCGAGGGTTCAACCCACCCACGAAAACCTTTTTTGGGGGTGATTGAGGTTCCATGGCTTTAGCTCTCTTAAGCTCTATTTTCTTGCCATCCAATAGGTGCTCTTTCACTTGGAGCACCTTTTCAACAGTGGCACTATCTTGGAAAAGCACAAAACCAAAACCCCTGGATAGTCCAGTGTCTGGATCAGTTTTAATCACAAAATCTATGATCTCGCCAAACTGAGATAAGTATTTGATCAGCACTCGCTTACTCGTATCACGGGAGAGTCTGCCGATGAACATTTTACAGGCATCTTGTTGAGTCTTGCTGGCTTCGATTCTGAAACCTTCAGGGAGTTCCCTTTCATCGAATTTGCTCACGGCAAAGTTTGCGGCATCCATGGCGGAGAGGCTGGCAGTGATTCTACAGTTGGCAAAAAGCATGGCTGATGCCCAACTGGTGAAGAGGGGGAATATGGGAATTGGCGGGGAAAGGTGACGAAACCAACGTAGTGACGTAGGCTAGTGACATGAACACAATGCCCCCCACGTATTTTCTGAACTTCAAAATGGTGTCCAGGGAGAATGCATGATTGACAGGAATTGTTTTTGCCCCATAAAACTAGGCTTGCTTCCAGGCTTGGTTTTTGTGTTCTTAGCCTTAGAAAGGGAAAGTTTGTTACAGGGACAGCAACACATGGTCTTGATCAATATCTTTAGGTTATCTCTCTTTGAAGTTTTATTAAAACCTTTTATTCTTTCCAGATGGTGCCTTGCACATCCAAACGGTGGCTTGTTCATTACATTCCTTAGGTAGTTTTCACATTTCTTTGAAGTATTTGGGGGCAGAGATGGGAAAGGAGGTAAGAGAATTGAAACGTTTTATACTGGGAAAGCAAAAATGCTATGAATTTGTATGTTATGCTAAAGGGATCTAAAAGAACAACTTTTAATAGCAGCATTGTTGATATTAATTTGTTTACCACACAATTCACCCTTCTAATATTTTAAAGTATATTTTCAGAGTTGTACAATCATCACCACATTCCAATTTTAGAATATGTATGCTCTCCTCCAAAGAAAATCTGCACCCCATTAAGTAGTCATTCACATTTCTCCTGAATCCTTCCAACCACACAGTACATGGCTTTTTCTTCCTAATGTCTTTCACTACTCTGTTTTCAAGGTTTGTGTATGTTGTTGTAGTGTATGTTACTATTTTATCCTTTTTAATGGAGAAATATTATTCCATCAAATGGCTGTACTGCATTTAGAAATAAAATAGAGAAATACCATTTCTCTAAAATAACATACACCAACTTTGATTTTGTTATATTATTATATATTTGCATCATAAAAATAGTATAGGGATTATCTGGAATTTCTCATTTCCAATATGGTCAGAGAGTGCAGATGTCATAATTGTGTATACTACTGAGATGGTATTTAATGCTACCTTAACCTCTCCTTGTGTCTGAAGATCAAAGCTAAAATCTAAATGCTTAGTTTGGCTACTTCCATCCTCTGACATTAACCACTGAATATAATCAAGTAATTTGTGTGTATATCTCCCTCCTTCAAATATTATTTCTTTTCAGGAAAGGGTTTTTCTAATTGTTCCACAGAGTTCCCCACAGGCTTTGTACATAGTTGCCCTCAAGGAATTTATGCAATTATTTATTTTTAAGCCAGCAATCCTCCTGTTAGTAATAAGGCCCACGTATCTCTCTCTAAGAACATACTGAGCATAATTTGGAGATAACAGAAAGTGGGCTACATTTTAAATACAGTGGCAGGGTTTGACATTTGTGGTGGACAACATTGCAGCCTCCCATGCTGGGCTCACTGAGCAGAAGTTCTGGCAGGTGATTCCTTCACCAGCTTCAGGGTAAGTTCCACAATCCTATGTGGACTGGAAAATATTGCCTGAGCTAAAGAAACTGAAAACTGGCCTATGAATATGCAAATGAGAGACTATGGATCACTTTTCCCACAAAGAATGCCATTTAGGAAGTAGCTGTTGAAAAAAAATATTAAACTTATTATCCACAAAAAAATAGTAGGGATCCCAAATTTCCACAGAATTTATTTATTTCTTGTCTACAGTTTTCCTAGGAAACCTTAAAAATGACAGCTAATAACATATTGTATCTTCACGGATCACAGAGGGTTATTAAAAAAAAAAAAAAAGAAAAGAAAAAATGCTTCCTTTCTTCCAGGATACTTGCAATCTTTTAGAATCAGTAATCCATGTTATGACGTCCTGTTTACGTGGTATAAAGCAGTGCTGGAGGCTTAGTCATTTCATCTTCTATCATTTAGCAGACCATGTGCAACTTTTTCTTGGGTCCAGTGACCAGTATAGTGAATCAGCTCCTGAACCTACTTAGCTTTTAGGGGTGCCAGTCGAAGCAAGAAGAGATTTTTCACCTAATGTGGTGGTGCACACCTATAATCCCAGCAGTTGGACAGGCTGAGGCAGGAGGATTGCAAGTTCAAGGCCATACTCAGCAACTTAGTGAGACCCTGTCTAAAAAAAAAAGACCTGAGGTTGTAGCTCAGTGGTAGAGCACCCCTGGGTTTAATCCACAGGATCACAATAAATAAATGAATAAGCCTGGAGATGTAGCTTATTGGTAGAGTGCCCATTGGTTCAAACTCCAGCACCAAATAAAGAGAGAGAGAGAGAGAGAGAGAGAGAGAGAGAGAGAGAGAGAGAGAGATTGAGATTTCTAATAAAAACTGTAGTTTTTTATAGAGGCTTGTTACAGATGTCTAGTATCCCTGATGATGTCTACAGTTAAATTACTTTTAAATTTTAAATGAAGAAATTTAGATGTTTCATTCTATCAAAAATTATGTTTTATTTTTGATTTAATAAACATACTTGTCCCATACATGGTACAAAGAGTGCGATAATAAAAATATATATTTTGTGAAAATTTTAAAAATTAAAAAGTGACAACAGTTGATGATGTTGAACCATAGGGAAAATGAGTTGTTTCACAAAGGTAAAACTAAAACCTTTAGCAAAATAATCCCTTATACTTCAATTATAAACACTTTGAAGCCCAGCTGCCTCCTCATTTTCGATGTTCATCCTTATCCTTGTGCTTTTGTTCATTCTGAATATTCTTCCCCAGATACCTTTGTTTTCTCTTCATCCATCCCTTTCCTATATTCCATCTCCCTAACTTGTTTCCTTGAAGAGCCTCTATTTTGTGAACCTGTGACATCCATTCTATACATGTTCATCAAGTTTTCATCAAGGTACTTGTCTGTGTCTTCCCTCCTGCACTGGTCAGCAAGCTTCTTAGACACTGATCCATACCAAACTTAAAGGTCTCCACATTTGTCATAATTCATAATATCTTTTTTTAATATTCATTTTTTTAGTTGTAGTTGGACACGATACCTTTATTTTATTTCTTTATTTTTATGTGGTGCTGAGGATCAAACCCTGGGCCTCACATATGCTAGGCAAGTGTTTTACTGCTGAGCCACAACCCCAGCCCAATACATAACATCTTTTTAAAAGGAACTTACTGAATGCTTATTGAAACTAAATACTGGAGTTCTGAGTTCTGAAGGCCACATTTTTTTAAATGCTTGGTCTTATTGACCTTTGGGAGAATTAGTCAGTTGCAGATTACTTCCTGAGTGCCGATCGGCTACAATTTGGGAGAGGTGACTTATCTTTCCTAAGTTAGTACAAGCCTATGAAAAGAGGCTGCAAGTTTGATTTTTTTTCCGGGTCATTTCTAAACCAACTGAGACAACCACAGAGTAGTCAGATCTCCATTTGATGGCTGCTTTTACTAGAGTGAAAATCTTAGGGGAATTATCTACTCTCTGCATGTTTATAGATTAATGATGTACCTGAATGACTTGTTATTTACCTGTGGCGTGTTTACCTAATTAGGCCATGGCTGACATTGCAGTTTTGACCTCTTTGTGGGCTGGTTAGTTTTCTTCCATATGTGGCTTACAGGTTGTGCCCCTTCGCCCAGTCCTAGGCCTTGCATATATGTGCTCTAGGTCACAAGGGGCTACTGAGTCTGAACATGTCAATGAATCAGTGAAACAACTATCCTCCCTTCTGGATACACAATTTAAAGCACTTAACCTACTGATCTTGGGTCATTAGTATCATCTTGGTACATGAAAGACAGCACATTATTACTGTAATTACTTTTGAGGCAGTAAAAACCAACATTTTTAAAAAGACCATGTCTGCTTTTGGTCCCCTAATGAAAATAATTATGCTTGCTGAAGTTCTCTCCCCTCCCCACACACAAACACACACTGATCTTTAGCTATTTAAAATATTTTGAAATAACTCCTTTTCAATGTAATGTCTGAAAGACTGAAGAAATTAAAATCTGTGCTGTTTAGTTTTCTATAGCAATTGTGCCACAGCTTAATATATTTTGGTATTAAAATATTGTCATTAGATTCCTATTGTTAGCTTTCCTTGTGGAATAGTACATTTACAATAATTCTGACTAGTAATTTATTCTTATTCCTTATTAAATCAAAACACATATATTGGAGATTTGAATTGAAGTCACTGGAGATTTCTTCACTGAGAAATGAATAAATGAGTGAATGGATGTTAGGCTCCCAGACAGTTACCAAAGGTATTTTACAAATGTGAAATGCCTATAGAAAACAAACAGTGTAAATCAAAGGACAAAAGGCACAGAAGCTAGGGGCATAAAATAAGAATTTTCTGTTGCTGGGGAATGGGGGACTAAGTGCTGCAGTACATGCAGGCTATCAAAATTTTTGTATTTTGGGGAACTTGGGATACCTGATTTGGGTTTATTTTACTGTGATCTAGATTATGCCTGCAATATTCAAAGCTCTTAATTTGATTATTCCTTGGACATTGGTATCTCATTCATAATTGTTGGAGAATGGGGGATAAGATGAAGGATGACATATGCCTTTAGAATTAATCTGCCTTTCTTATCATGGGACTCAACCTTGGCAGAAGGATGCTGTGAGACCCATAAATCAGAAAAGTAACCTGTATGTATCCTGATTTGATATTCTGGCATAGAGCTGTCTCTGTGGTAATATGTTCTTTAATGCTCTGTTGAACCTGTTCTCTTTAGTGAAATGAAAATGCATGTGTTTGACATACTTGGTCTAGTTGGTTGTTTGATGAAATGAGATTTTCCTTACTCTTTTTCCTCTTCATTTTCCACAGAAACTGCCAGTGCCCATTACTTAAATTAAGTTGAGAGTGCTAGCAGATAGTTTGAAAAATGATCATTTAGGAAATACTGTTCTCTACTAACTTTGAGTGTATCCAAATAGTGATCTAATTGAATGTAGTACATTGGACAGAGACTAAAAATTAATTTGACATCAAAAGTTTTTAGCCACTGAATCTG